CTGTGCTCAGCAACGCACTTGTATTATCTCACTGAACCCTCACAGCCAACCTGCATGTATTAGCACTTCTGCTTTATAGATATGGAAGCTGAGGTTCCAAGATGTTAAATAACTTGCCCAAAGCCTGGGTTCAAACCTAGGTCTGTCTCTCAATGAAACCTAATCCACCATGTAACATTGCCTCCACTTGATAACGTCCACCATTTTACATGGCTTCTTATGCCTCAGATTAAATGATATATATAAAGAACACTGCAGACTACTTGGCATATAGTAGATGCTCCATAACTGCCCCCTTCCCTGCTGCTGAGGCCGATTCTAAGTTATAGGAATTTCTGACCTTAAGCCAAAATCTCACTGGTTGGTTTGGCTTTTTCAGACTGGCTTCAGAAATTTCACTAAGGCCCGATGAAAACATCTCTGTCAAGGTTACATCCCTCATGTCTTATATGTAAATGAAATGCGACACAGCGATTTGGTATTTCAGTCTTGGTCACACAGGAAGAAAACGTGAGAAGTGGGAAGCAAACCTAGCTGTTCTGAAAGCTAGAAATTGGGCCTTAACTCCCCCAGCCTCGTCTTTGATGTGTGTGCTTACATGTCCTCATTAAGCTGTTCCATGTGTATATATTTGTACATGTGTATGTATATATATATATATATATGTATATACACATAACCAGAGGTAGATGTATTTATACACATATATATACACACACGTAATGATACCCTAAATAAGCCACCCTTAAAGTGTCTTTACAAAATTAACCCATGGAACAAGCAATAATATGTGAACTATAAACATTCTTGCATGTTGGCAGATAACCATGCTGCACATTCCCCTCCAAGAACGGAGAAAGAGAAGAAAGGGAATAACACAATAGCAGAAAAATGCACTAATCAAAGCCATGATCAATTTTGATGATGGAGCAAGGGTTCTAATCAAAACACAGTGGCGCAAAGCTGCAACAGGTTGTATGCTTGGAGCTGTGCTCGCTTCCCAGGGGCCTTGTGCTTGTTTTCTTTTAAACATCTAAGACACCCACAGAGGATTTCAATCGCTTCTAATTACTTTTTTGAAGAAATGAGTTGCAAGTTGAACACTAGCTCCTAAAAACAGGAAATAGCAAAGTATTATATACTTTTTTTTTTTCTCTCTGCAACAGCTTCTTTAAAATAGCTAGCTATAGCTTCCCCTAAAATCACTCACAAGCATTCCTTATCTTAAGGTTAGCCGGACACGGTTTCTGAGCTAACACAGAGAATGTCTCTTAAACAAACCTTTACACGTGGTCATAATTTATATGACATGCTAACAGAGCAGACACTATAAACGTTCATTTTGGAGGGAAGGCCCAGGTATCCCAGGATCAGGAAGGGAATTCAGGAAGGATGTGCTGCTGCAGAGCACCGTTTCCTCCACTGGGGGTCGAGACTCAGCTGTGGGTTTGTGGGAAAGATTCAAGGTGAGGCGCTTGAAGGGTTGAAAGGGGAGCCGTACCTAACAGCTACTGGTTGATGAGTTAGGTCATTTTATACTTTATGGAGATGGAAAGCAGGCTTAGGGATAAAGGTGCTGTCACGGGCTGAAGAGAGCTGTGCATAACACCACAGGGCATGAGAACCACCTCCTTTTTCTTGTAATGGCCATGCTGAATATGTTCAACCTAAGCTAATAATAATAATCACTCTCATTTCCCAAGGGTCTGTTGTGAACCCGCTCCTTCATGGATACCATCTCTCCAGCTCCTCACAATCACCTGTACATTCAGAATTCATATCCACCAGGACGCCAGCATGCAAATCCAGTCCTTTGACTGCAAAGCCTTTGCTCCTTTCTCACCATCACCTTTTTGACAGGAAGATACCAGATTCCCTCCAGCCACCCAGTTTGTGGTACTTTGGTACGGCAGTTGTAGGAAACTAACAGTTACTAAACCTCTCTTTGCCTCAGTATCCTCGTGTGTAAAATGGGGATAACACTTATCTCACTGGGTTGTTGTAAGGATAAAATAAGCCATTTTATAAAAATCCTTAGAACAAATCCTGGCCCATAAAAAGTGCTATGTGTTTGCCATTATTATTGTTGTTATTAGATTTCTATTGTTATAGAAAATGGATGTGGCACACCTGCTTTAGGGTTATTTGAGGATGGAATGAGATCATCTGTAAAGAGTCTGGCATATCAGGCACTCAACAAGTGGTCTTGCCCTTCCCTCATCTTCCCAGTGTGGCTAGCACTGTACCAGGAACATGACAGATGCTCTATAAATCCTTGTGGACCAATTGACACTTTCCCAAGTATAATCCATGTATTTTCTCACTTAGAGGCTCTTAGATCTAGGTTCAACATGCTTAGCTCTTGGGTAACATAAACAATTAATTTGATTAATGTTTCTCATTTGCCAGACACTGCACCCAACACTTCACATATTTTACTTTTCTGAATCCTCACAATCCTTGTGGTTGTTTATGCCCATTTTACAGATGGGAACATTGAGGCCCAGAGAGGTTAATCAACTAGGTCACCCAGCTAGTACATGGCAGAGACAGGACACGAACAATACTCATCTGACTCTAAAGCTTGTGCTATTAACCACTGCACAACCAGTCTCCTGCCAAAAATCCACTGAATAAAAGGGGAGACAGAGGCCCCGAGGCATCATTTGCCATTTAATTCATTTCCCGAATATCCTCTAAATATATATACCAGCTTTTGGGTCTGAAAACTACCAGATTCAGACGCAGTTCTCAAGCTGTAATTGGGAGACTTTCCTGAAGGCTGAGTGGGCACCATATAAGTCAGTGTGGGCTGTCCAAAGAAGGCAAGATCCCTTTTGCCAAAGTCAATGTGATACCAGGATGGGTATGTAAGAAGAACAAGAGTCAGCCCCCTGGCCCTGGAAAAAGATGCTAGAGACCCCTCACACTGATGAGAAGACAGCTAGGCAAAAGCCAGGATAGAACACTGGGAAGTGGCCAGTTTCCTGAGCAGTCCATCCAAGCTGTCCCTGTGGTCAGTGTACAAGGACCTACTGAGGGAAAGAGGCATGGAACTGGGGGAATCTGGGAATTGTGGGCCAAGGATGAGGAAGGGAACAGGACCATGCTAGCCCCTCAGGGGGAAGCTGGAGAACATTTTTCAGGGGAGACGGTGACAAATCACCCTTCCAGAGTCTGCCCACTGCATGTCCTCTGATAATGTTTGTTAAATGAAGGGTCAAATGGGCAAAGGGTAGAACAGCTGTCTGGATATGAACAATCTCGGCCTCTACTTTCCCTCTCATTCCTCAGATCCTCCTCATCAGCCCGAGAGTGTGTGTCACATCCTGAGTCACCATTCTGGCCTCCTGTGCACCACCCGTCACACCTTATAAGCCCCACCTCCAAGGATGAAGGAGAAATCTCCTGCAGCAGTGTACCCCAGCACTCATCCCCATTTCAGAGCCCACTGGACAAGTTCTGTGGCTTACAACAGAAAAAGAGAGCAGAGCACACAATCCTCCTAGAGACAGGCCCCAGAAGCATTAGAGGAAATCTTGCCTTCCTCCCACACGCCATCACTCAAACCTGTCAGTTTCCAAAAATGTTTAGCAAGTGCAGCAGCAAGGGGCTTGCTTATCAGCCTGGTGTGGGAGTTTAATCTGCTTCAAGGGCCTTCTCTAGCCCAGAGTTCCAGAAGTCTGCTTACAATTAGCCTTCAGCTCCAGTCTCTCCACCAGCAAGGCTAGGAATGTGTTGAGCTCTAGCCTCTGATCAGAGAAAGCTCCAGGAGAAGGTGGAGACAGTGTCAGGATGCCAAAAAGTCAGCTGGTCTGTTGACACTACCCTGACACCAGTCCCAAACCACCTCCCCCTCTGGCTTTCCCGCCTCTCCTGACCGGGGACAGTCACATCCGTCAGGTCTGCCTGTCCCCAAAAGTCCCTGTTGACCAACTGCCAAGAAAATACAACAAGCCCTGACTCCCTCCTACCAGAACAGGGAAAAAAAGCAGCAAGAAGGGCAGGAGGCCAAGAGAACTGGATTGGCCCTTGCTGATTTCCTTAAAAGAGATTGCCTGGCCAGAGTCTGTCACCGGCCGAATTGGGTGATGCAGGCTCTGTCTGGTAAGATAGTAGTCACGATCTCCCTTCAAACCATGCCCCTACCCCTGCCCGCAGCCACTCTAGCTACCAGCACCAGGATCTATTACCCAGGAAGGAGTGGCTTAGCTGCCTCAGAATGGCGGCCACCCCCACCCCCACAGCCAGCCAAGACGCTAGGAGTCTCCAGCTGCCTGTCTCAGCTGGTGCACCGGGCGCTCACACCACAGCCCCAGCACTGTGCTGGGAATCCTGTCAGCCCTAGGATGGGCAGGGGCAGGCCATCTTCAAGCCAAGTGAGGCAGGTTCACTGCCTTCCCCAGGCCCTCTTTTTTGAATCTTACAGCCAGGTGGGGGGGTGGGGG